TAAGTGAACGAAGAAATCAAACAAAAAAATGGAATTGAGTCCGAAGTACGGCAAATGGAGATTGATGGACGAACGAACCAATCAGGATGCGCATCCAATCTAGCCCGGACCAGACAAACCGATGACAGTGTGTTCATTGACAAGCATATGTGATGATAGTAAGGGTTTAGCAGCCAATGACTCCAGATCAAGATGCAGGGGAATCTGCGAACTCGGCCAGGGCATTAAACGGATCCAATTGACTGAACGGATCATTGCCCAACGTGGTGTTCGGAAGTCGTACACCCGATTCGAAGTCCCCGCGACGATAGCGACGTCGGCCGCTAGTATTTTCCGAGCCTAAATTCGACAAATCCACAAGCCGATCTACCTCAGAAGTCACTTCGTGAGACGGATCTGGTGTAGACCCATTATTATTATTGGACGGTTGCGTGCTGACAGTCAGGGAATTTTCAACCAAGCCATTCACAGCCTCAGGGTACTTCGCAATGCCCGGGGTCTATAGCGAATAAAATGGGAACAATGGGAATTATTACCAAGGGAACCTATACACCGTATTAATGACGCAATAAAGGATCACAAGTTGAAGACCCGGTTAAAATAAAATTTAAAAAAACGGCAAGACTAATTGATGCAAAGCTCGATTGTAATATAGGCGCTGATACCGGAGTTTTTAAAAGAGATGATTACAAAGAGAAGCAACTGGCTGGAAATCGTCTAGTAACTGCAAGTTAGGCATCAGACAGAACACATCTGCTGCGATGGATCAGTGGAACAAAGTTGTAAGGAAACTGAGAAGATGTGCCAACGCCATTTTACGGCCTTCAACCATATCATTCAGTGTCTCTAACTGCCGGGTACGATCATCCCGAGGTACCCGACCGGAGAGCGAGTCCCGGGCCAGGGTTTTCAAACCATCATGCCAGATCTTAATTTGACCACCCTTGGCTTCTTTTCCACCCACTACCTGCCTTGGTGAACATCACTCGCCGTGCAAACGTATTCCGTGACATGCGTAACACATGTCCGAACCAACGTAATTTATGGAAGTCGACCGATTCTTCGAGTGCGTGACCGCGGTTACCTAAAAACTCAGTGCTTAATTTCGGCATTGCTTGTTCGGTTATCTCACCAGATTCGTGCTATGCTGTATAGGCAACGGTGTTCCTCTATGGTTTTCACAAGAGGATCCGACGCCTTTCGGTAAGACGACCGATTCACATCATTCAGTTGGAACCTGTTTCCTTTCCCATATTGAGTCCAGGAGATTCGTCAATTCGCCAACGCTGAGCCTCTGTATTTAGACGCCGACGGGAACAGCCCATCGGCGCAGGAGGCATTA